ACATCACTGAGTGAAATCCAATCCAATGCCCTTTTGTAGACAAGTAGGCTCAGATTCTACCAAATCTACATTCATCACAGGTCACACAGCTCAACAGAGCCATCTCTGAAACTAAAGATCAGGCCTTCTAAGTTTTCCCTTTCTCCTCACATCAACAATTTTCCTTAAATTCAAACTGGGCAGACATTCATGGGTTATCAAACTTAATGCACAAGGATGACCTTCTGCTTTGCTGCGACAAGTATAATTTCCCTGTTTTCTTCCAATTGTAGATAGGAGACAGCAAATTGCTATTGAAGCAATCTGGATATATAGGAGTTGGGAATGAGGCGTAAACTGTATTTTGAGCTACAAATTTTAATATCATTTTGGGACAAAAGCCTATACGAGCATCTACTTCCTGACAAGACAAATTTCATTTTGAGACCTGTACTGTCACATCAACACAAAAATTCCAAATCCTGAAATACAAAGAGAAAAGTGTTATCCAAACTGACTATACCAAACTGGAGGGCATTTAAACAAAACTTGTAGAAAGCTAGAACTCTTACTCTGATATCTGAAACAAACTTGTAGACTTAAATGTGGCCACAGAAAGTTTGGAGTTTTGCTATATGGACTTACATTCAAAGGCATGTTATATTAAGTAAACCAAAATCACATGTAATTAGGCTCAGCTCAGAGCAATGTTGCTAATACTTCCTGTTTCTTCCCAAAGTTCTTAAGGGGTGTTACTGGCACGAAGAACAAAATAAAAAGGAAAATGCCACCTCAGCTAGAGGGGTCAAAAAGGGGATTCGATGAACATAAGCGACACAGCTTTTGATAAAAAAGAAAAGGGATCTTGTTTTATTTTGTGGGTTTTGTGGAACTAGTTATTTATACCTACACAAAAGGCCATAGATTTTTTTTAATGCCATCTGTAATATCTCTCAGCAGAAGTGACTATGCGAGGTTCATTGTCTCAGTACCCTAACTGGAGATGGGAACACTGAATTTGTCACATAAACAAATCTAGGCTAGTATTGCACAGCAATGGGTGGTAGGTGCTGTTTTTTCTAAGATGAGGACTGTCCAAATACCCATCCTTACTCACCACATTCTCTTGACACGGGACTAGGAATGAGTCTTGCAAGGAGTAGAACTCGGCTGAGACATACATTTTTTCTGCCCATTAAAGGTCCCAGGAAAGAGCAAAGACACACATCTAAAAGGCATTTCTTCATGGTTTGGAAGGCCCCAGGGAATGCAAATTCAGTGGTCAGTGGGGAGAAAGTCACAGAAGTTTGTCTCAAAGACAGCTTGGCCAACAATTCCTTTAAGACACCAAAACCCCCTCCCCGTTCCCCATTACCAAGCAGCTCAACCACCACCTCTCCAGAAAGGAAGACAGCCTTTTTCTCAAACCTGATAGATCCTGAATCCTTTCATTTGGTAGTTAGGTGGGTCCTTGGACTATGGTACCAGGATGGAGGGGTGAGAGTGGGAGACACTGACAATGATTTACAAGGGGAGTGAGCCCAGCTCCAAAGTAGCTTCCTTCCCACCAGGGGCTAAGACCTTCCCTTCCCAGTCAGCATTTGTAGGCTGGGTGCTCCAAACTCTGGATATCCAGGCATATGGTGCAAAACAGCGCTATCGGGAAAGGGCTGTAAGTCCTGAAACTGAGCCACAGGTGCAGGAACGTCCCTAGACCTTCCCTGGAATCCCATCTAACCCCTCGAATCTTCAATATCCCTAAAATTCCAAAAGTGAAACTGAAAAGTTTGGGAACGGTCTCTGGAAGCAGGCTTCCTTGCATTGTCTCAGGTGCTCCTGGATGCTGCACTAACATAACATCAAGGAGCACAAGCCGCTGCTCCTCACAGGGCCAGGGGGGATCTCCCTCGGATTTTTAGGCGCGCAAGTCCCCACATTCCAGCCACTGGAGTGCCCCAAATCCCCTCCGCATAACACTGTTCCCTAGCACCACCTCAATTCCTCCCTCTTACCGCTGCTCCCCATGAAAAAGGAACACTTGGGCCCTTCGACAATCCTGCGAAGTATTCTTGAGACTTAACAGGGTACTCGCTTCCATGGCCCGATCCCGTGCAAAAATTGTGGGCTTACAAGCCTTAGGATGAGCTGTGTCCTCATCAAGGCAAAGTCAGGAGAAAGAAGGGAGGGAACCATGGTTGAATTTGCAGTTTACAAACAGAACCATTTTGTGCGTATCTTCACCTCAACTGAGCCCCCACACCCACCCCAGGACGCGCAGGATGGGAGTTCTGGAGATGCACTGCGCGCTCCACTTGGGAAGATGAAACGCGTCCTGTCCTGCCTGTCAACAATCGCTCAGGTGGAAAGAAATAACCTGCCATGGAGTCTCTAATGCCCATCTCCCACCCACCTGACACCGCGAGCGGACAGGACACTCCCCACCCCGACTGAACGGAGTCTGGGTGGCCCAATAAAATTACCCTCTGGTCCCTGCAACTGCCAGGTGACCACGTTGTTGCAGAAACTACTGACCTGACCAGTCTTGTTTTTAATTCAATCCTTTAAAAATGCCTCCTCGATCTTGGCTTTGCGCTTTCACAATTGTTGGGGGAAGAATGCCCTCCCAGACCAGCCCACACCAGAGACCGAGAGCTACTGGCGTGTGGCTTACACCCACTGTCCTCCTAGGGTCTTTTCTGGTTGGACTCGCGCGCATACACTACTCCGTTGCTGCGTCGTGGACACTGGCGACCCCTGTCGGGGGACCCCTATTCCCAACTAGGCTACTACAATCATGCATTGTGGGTGGTTTTCCCCCCTAGGCCCAGGTTTACTGGTTTTCCTAAGAACCCCCAGAGGGGTTCCAATCTTTGTCTCCAAACTCCTCTTCGAGACCTTCCCATACCTACCCAGACCCCGGATGCAGACCTTTCCCCAGCACTCGAACTTCCATTCACACCCCCAAGGCTACAACCAAGTCCTGAGCACCTACCCATGGATGGCGTCCCTCCTGCTTCAGTCCAGTCGGTGCTTAAACTGTTGCAAGGGTCAATTTTTACCTAAAATTCACTCCCCATCCCTTCCCTTCCCTTCCCTAGAATGGAAAAATCGAAAGTGACCTGGCAACGCTTCAGGTTGACCTTGTTGGCAAGCCTTTTGGGGGAGGTCCGAGCTTCCTCATCCTCCGCAAGCCTGGGCCCCCCCGGGGGGGGCAACCTCCCACCTTTACGGGGAGTGCAGGAAAACAAGAGCCTATCACTAAATGTGGCACATACCCAATCTCCCTGGACACAAAATGCCATTGACTACATGCAGCCCTCCCTATTTCACCGAGTACCCTGGACAGTTAGTCTTTTTAATGGGCACCTCCTCGCTCTGCCTGTTCCAACAACACTGAGAGGAAAAGAAAACACAACCCCTAAAAGAGGGAAATTAATCATCCCCTCTGCCCTCGTGAATTTTGCACTTCGTGTCAGCAATTTGTCACATCAGAACGTGGCAAAGTCTGGTTCTCTCTCTCTCTCTCTCTCTCTCTCTCTCTCTCTCTCTCTCTCTCTCTCTCACACACACACACACACACACACACACACAGACGTGGAAGAGGGGGTCTCTTTAATACACACCCTAGTGACTGCACATACAGACTTGTGCACGGTTCCACGGGCACACACACACGAGGCAGTTGCGCTTGGATGCTCTCATCCGGGCCCAAGACACCCCTCCACCCTGGACCCTCTAGCAATGGACTAGATACAGATAAACCACGGAAAAAACTGGAATAGCTCTCTCCCTCTCTTTTTTTCCTACTTAATTCGCTAAAGAAGCTCCTGGAGTAACCAAAAGGAGTCGAAACTAAGGCGTGGCAACTTCGGTTGGGTTTTTTCCCACCTCAAAACCTTTATTTTCAGTTTTTAAAAGCCACCTTAGCCCGCCATATTGGAACTGGTACGGTGTCTAAAGACTCCTTCCCCGCTGCTGTAGCGCTTCCAAGAAAACACAAGTATGGACTGGGCTGGGGACGTGTGTCTGGCCACTGCGAATCAACCACTTTCCACACCCAGTGTTCTCCCTTTTCCAGCCTAATCTCCTTCAACCGCTCCAGGTTAAAAAAAAATCAAAAAATACATGTAGCAGTTCCTACCGTTGCTTTTTTTAAAGACCATTTCAGCAAGACACACACGCACACAAAATAAATAAACTCCAGAGCTCAATCGGGTTAGTGATTCTGAAAAGAGGCAGGATGAGTGTACACAAGAAAGCCCCAAGTGACGGAATGTTACTTTAAAGGGTGACAAAAATGAACAAAAAGATCGCCCTTGCTAGAGCTCTCTCCGAAACTACTATTGACAATTTCAATTCCGCTGCACAAGGCAAATGTTTGCAATCGGGCGATTCCAAATGTCTGCGCGATTTTGGAAACAGCCCCCACCCCACCCCTGCTGATCTCCAATTCCACCACCACCATCACCTTCTTCTCCCCAGTCCCCCAAACCTCCAAATACACACCAAAAGAGGGAGACCCCAGAGCCAAGGAGACGCGGGAACGCGGGGTAGGTAGCAGAGGCGGCTGAGTCGCTAAAACGAGTGCACAAACGAGGAAGGTGGGCGGCGGGAGGGAACAGGCTGCACCCGGAGGAGGACGAGGTCACTTTGCAACTCCGGACAGACTCCCGTAAGGCCTGGCTTTTCAGAGCCCGGAGCCCGGGGGAAGAGGGGGTGGGGAAAGAAAAAAAAAATGACAACCCAGAGCGCGGAAAGGAGTTAGAGGCTACGCTCAAATGCTGCTCATTTCCTCTCCAGCCCCTGCTCTTCGGTTTTTCTCCTCCTTCCTCCCCAACCCCCCGCCTCCCCCACCTCCACCCCTAGGCTGGTTCTGGCTTCCTTTTTTTTCTTTCTTTCTTTCTTTTTTTTTTTTAACTAAACTGGAAAAAAGACGCCTTTCGGCGCACTCAACCTGCGGGCCAAAGATCTGCTCGAGGGTCGAGTTAGGCGAGGGGACAGTGGCTGGGGTGGCGTCTTACCTGATGAAGTTTGTCCTGACCCGGATAGTAGAGCCTGGCCCCCGGGTGCGACCGGAGTAGGCGCTAGTCCCGCTCACCCTCCTTCCTAGCTCACTCGCTCTCTACCCGCCGCCTCCCTAGCGCGCCCGCTCGGGTCCTCCAGCTCCCACTACAGCCTCATTCCAATATGGCATCCTCTCTATGCGCATGCCCGGCACTCTTTTTTTAAGATTTCTCTTTCTCTCTGTACAGCGAACTCCTTCAATGACCTTTTCCAGCGCTTGCAAAATGTCTCAAGCCAATTAGCCTGCTGTTCGTGGTAGACTCCTTCCGCCCACAACGCGACATCTCCCCACCCCCACGCTCCGGCATACAGAGACACCTCCTCCAGCAGACACAGTCCACGCCACGCGGCCCCCCTGGGGCCGCTCCCTTCCCTCCTTTCCTTCAACTCCCTCCCTAAATGATGGGTAGAAAGTTCCCACTGCAAGCGTTCCCGAACACCCATTTGCATCTACAACTGAACTAACGCCGCAATTCCTCCACTGCTGTTTGTTTTCTCGGTTTGCAATCGCCTGGTCGACTCAGTATAGACTTGTGCTATCTCTGCCCAAGAGCTTTCTAAGTGGGGAGGATGGGGACCCCAAAACCAAAATGTATTGCCCCGCGCGGTCCGCCCCACCCTGCTCTTTAATTGCGCTTTTCTACGAAGAGTCTCAAGTCTCCTGCCTTTGGGGGAGGGCAGAGGGATCTAGGAGAGGTTTTCCTGGGGCTCCTACCACACATGAGAAGCTGGAGATTAAGTTTGGATTGTGGTGAGATCTACCAGCTGCGATCTACTGGGATGTGTGTGACAAAGCTCGCCGGGCTTCTCGTGGGACACCTGGCCAGGATGGGTTCCCATTGGGTGGGGATAAGAATCCCTGGGCCAGATCGAGAGAAACGAAGACTGCGGAGGAAGATCCACGCAGCCTGGTTTGCGGGGTCAGTCCGCACTTTGTCACAAGACGTAGTGGAAGGACTAAAGAGCTTCCCAGCCTTAGGCGCAATGCCTGGACACAACACAAACGAAACGTCCCCGGTGCGGAAAAGCTGGTGAAGCTCAGGTAGATAAGATCCGCGGGTTAGGAAGCTAAGAAGCAGTGGGGGACGTGCGAGTGTAGAGCTGGTTATATCTGCTAGAAAACAGAGCAAACACAATTGCTCAAGAGCTTTGCTTTTGAAACCCTGGATAAAAGTTCCTCACCCCCCCCCCCCAGTCTCCTATAGTCCATCTCTCTTACACCACTGGCTGAAAAATAACCACATCTGGGATTTGTGTCACCCTTCCTGATCTCCCTGATCCTAACATCCCAAAGAAATATATAATATATATATGCTCCAAAGGAGTGGTGAGGGCTAGGGACCTCCAGTGGAGTGAGGGGGCCAGGGGCTAACCTTGAGCAGGAAAAATCACCAACTATGAGACTTTAACTCATCTAGAAGAATCAGGATGTAACGTGCCCAGAAATGGCTCTTGCCACAGATGGACCTCGCCAAACCCGTGGGCGAAGGTCAGCGGTTCAGGGAGGATGGTGGAAGTTTGGAAAGACTGAGCACTGCCAGTCTGAGAATATCCTATTTCCTTAATGTTTTTGGAGAACTCCTTAAGAGCTCTAACCTTGCCTGGCCCTTACACCTCCGTTTAGTACTTGAGCCACCTAAGACCCAGAAGCTCCCAGTCACTCCCTTAGCAGTGCTCTCTGAGGAGCACACTTCAATCCCCAGACACTCCAGAAGTGTACCAGCCTCTGACTTTTAGGAACACCATAGTTCTGAGCTCATGCCCTTAAAGTCACTGACCGCAGAGACTCCTCCAAACATCCCACCTGCACCCACAACTGCCCCTTTCAGCATCCGGAGGTGGGTCCTGATGATGGATTGTGAATCTCAGCATTCCAATGCTAGCTCCGGGTCTCAAAATCTCACGTCATCTCTTTTCTCTCATTCAACACATAGTAGAGCCTTCGGAGAGGTGTGGGAACAAGATTCAGACTTAAAGTGCAACCTGAGATGCTGTCCTGGAGACTGTGGTCACGGTCTTGTCCATCCCCCAAGTACAAAGCCCTCTTGGACCGGAATGGCCAGGAGTTCACACTGGGTCCTCCAGTTCCCCAAAGCCGCTAGCTGTGGCTGCTGCGTTAGGCGCCCTGGATTGCAGGACTCCTTTGTGCGTCCCAGACCGCCCACCTTGCTCCCAGCTCCCCACACGACTTCCGGGCAGCTCTTGTTTGGAAGGAAATCGAATATTACCACTCCACCAGCCAAAAAACTTGAGCTGTAACCAACCTGCAGTCTCGAGTCTGTTTACTGATTTTAAGTCGTGATTCCCCATAGAACGTTATTCCATCAAAAAATTTAAAATACACATCTGAGTTTCTTACATGATTCTCCAAGGCAATTGAGCAATCTCTTTAGACGGTTGATATTCAGACCCACCTTATGTAATTTTGCCCGTGGATCTAAAATAAATGGCTCGGGGTTCCATTTACTTACTTACGTACTAACTTATCTATCTGTTGTGATTAAGAAATAAAAACATTGCGCTACCACAGCACACAATGGCTGTGTTGTTTACACAAAGAACTTCAATGATATCTACAGCGAACTGTCTCAAAGTTCAGTTTCCTTTACTCTTGATTCATTCTTTGCATGTGACTTTTCTTAACGTACCTCGGCTTTTCTTTCTTTCTTTCTTTGCTTCCTTCCTTCCTTCCTTTCTTCCTACCTTCCTCTTTCTTCCTTTCTTTCTTAAAGCACCTCTAAGGACACCAAAAATGCAAATGAAAAGTGGTTAATAGATTCCCTCAGGCAACTTCATCCACTCAAAGACGTTCCAATTTCCATTTTCATTTCACAACCAGACCCTTTAGGGATGTGGGAATCAAATTGTGGGATCCACCCCGAATCAATAAAACAATAACCTTTGCCAAGAATAAAGTAGTAGTGAAAACAGAAACTGTTTTTCTTCAAAGACAAATTGCACTCCAACTCAGAGGAAGTCATGTGAAACCCATGATTAATACAAGACTTGTCTCTACATCATTAACACTTACTGAAGATTTCCTCTCAAATAAGTATTTGATGGCACCATCTATAGATGTTATTGCACTCTTAAATTCTGATTCAGCCATGGATTTCATCACTATGTTAAAATATTTAAATTAGTTTTGTTAACTGTAAAATATGTATAGGCTGTCCAGTTTCTTTGATGACACAGAAAAAAGTAGAAAGTTCACAGACAAAATTTTCTCCTTCATACTCTGTACATTCCTAAGAATTACATTATGAGGACCTACAGAGTTGGAAAAGTATGCGTTTATTTTTATATTAAGGGCATATAGTGGTCTAAATCTTGTTGCATTCTTAAAATAAATAAATAAATAAATAATAGACAGACAGATAGATAGATAGATAGATAGATAGATAGATAGATAGATAGATAGATATTGATTATTTACTTAGCCACACCCGGTGTTTACATTACCACTTCTTTCAAAGGAAAAAGGGAAGTTGCCTTTCCAGAGACACTTTGTATGTGAATATTACTTAAAGGATGCAGGCCATAGAAGCTTACACAAAAGCAGGAGAGCTAACAGCCAAAACTAATATTTGACAAATGTGTGCAATCATCTATTTCCTGGAACCTTTACCCCAAAACTTGTTTTCTCTTAGACCACATACGAGTGCATTTTCCACCCCCTCCTAAGTCACCAAATCTAAACTCTCTCTCTCTCTCTCTCTCTCTCTCTCTCTCTCTCTCTCTCTCTCTCTCTCTCTCTCTCTCTCTACCTCTTTCTTTATCCCTTATCAGCATTAAAGTACTTGGCCAAAGTACCAGGAATTGAATGACCTTGGTCCCAGGCTCATCATTAATTATCTATGTAACCTCTGGGACTCCAGTGACCTCCCTCTCTGCTGCATTCTCCCCCAGTGGGTAAACTAAAAGCATGGGGTTAGATGTTCTGTAAAACCTGTTAAGACTCCAAAGATTATCTAGTGATTTGCTTTACCCCAAAGCCACAAATCGCTTTCTGTAATAGTCTAACACTGTCTCTACCAGTTCCATATAGGGCAAAGCAGAAACTCTGGGGGTCACAGAGAAGAAAGAAAACACAAGCACAGAGATCTGTGTGTAGGATCCTCTTCACCTGGTTTTCCTGGGAAGGTATTCTTTGGATCACATTTCTTCCTTCCTGGGCTTCTGTTCCATTATTACCATGACCTTGTGGGTTTTGCCTTGCCTCCAGCGATGTCCAGGACTGGGGTGGGCGTGCCAACCATGAAGGTGACTTCAAAAAATACCTAGGAAAAGAAGCCATGCTCACATGGTTAAAAAATTGTTAAGAGGTACATTATAGTGTTGTCCACAAAAGTATAACCACTTCTTATGTATTTGTAGAAATTTCAATGACTCATTGTTGCTATGACATTTCAGATTCCTTTGACAAGAATAAAAAAAAAAACTAAGAGTACACAAAATACTTTTAAGTGAATTGTGCCTAAATGCTCATGTGGCACTTTTTGAAAGAGCTGATACCTTGACTGCAGAGTGTCAGTTTGGAGTAATGGCTTCTCTCTCCACTGAGGAAAGCCCTTGTGGCAAATCTCCCTGAGAATTTTCACAGATATTGGCTTGAGCACCTAGGCACACAGTAACATATCTGAGTGGACAGTGACACACAGTAACATATGAGTGGGCAGTGACACACATAACACTTCATGGTGTTTTCTCTCAGACAGCTTGCTTCCTGTCCTGAAGCCTCAGGTTCAGACGTTCTAGAGCTGGATTTCAGAAAGATTATATGGTCAGTGCCAGTAACTGGATGGAGTTGTGGAGAAGAAGCTGACTTTCTGCTCCTGACCCTTTGTATTCCTCTATGCTCTGAGTGATAAGAGAAAGAAAAGGGGGTTTTGTTTTGCTTCGTGACAGGATTTCATTTACCCCAGGCTAGCCTTAAACTCACTTATACACCAGAGGATGGTGAGTTCTCACAGCAACACCACATCTGTTTTTAATGGGGTTCTAGGGATCAAACCCAGGGCCTTTTGAGCTTAGGCAAGCACTCTATCAAATGAGCCATATCCCCAGCCCCAAATGTGGGTATTTCATACCTAATTTAACCCAGACACTTGTCTAGGCATATTTTTATATCTGATAGCATTTAATAACTACTAGTCAGTAACATGTATAATATTTCTTTTAAGTGGTTTTAAGAAATAGTGTAAATATATACTCCTTGTTATGCATTCTGAGTTCCAACTCACTGTCACTGTACCTGAAACATTGTGTAGAGATAGCATTTCTGGA